GTATCTCTGCAACTTCCAGATACAAAAAAAAAGGGAGAGAATCATACAAACTACACATACTATTGGGTCACTTAATCGAAAAATACGCTGAAATCAAACAAGAATCCCCAATGAATTGATCCAATTTATTGTTTGTTATTCATTTTTTGGAAATGCTTTACCACTTTCGAAAGAGGGTGTACTTGGAGGATAGCTAATTCCGACCATGTGCTAAGCTACAATGTCACACAAAACTATATGCACGCTATGAGTGTCAATTCTCAAATTTGCATGAACTTTAAGATTTATGACACTGGTTTCTATTTTAATAAAAACAGTTTCGATATACTTTTCAAATTATAGTTTATTCAATTGTACTTTTAGATATGAATTAGTAAAAAATTATCGACAAGAAAAACCAGCGCGTATGCGCCGGTAATCAGCTAGTTGGTAGTAAAAGTTGAATGAGTATTTGGTTATACTCTCCAAAACATGTGTAATGCAAGACGATTTGGATTTGGGTTTTGGCAGTAACATGTATGTAACTTGAGTTGGCTTACAAACATATTTTCCCAGAGTTCAATTTTTGGAAGGTAGTATATTCACTCTAAAATATGTTTTCATATGTTAACAGATTAGTTTCCTCAATAGGTGCCTTGGTGTTGTTGCATTACAGGTTTCCATATTTTCTACCGAGCTTAGTTATATCAGTCTATGCTTCTGGGGTTCTCATCGCATGCTGGTGGCTACCTGTGAGTATGATAAATAAGATAGTCGAGATTTGAATGAAGCTAAAAATGCAAATATTAACTCAGAAGATATGCTTATATATTCACATGAAACACTTCATACGCGTTGTAGAGTTGCACACGGGAGAGCTAATCGAAATGGACATGAATATCCACAAAATGATGATGGAATTGATGACCAGGAAATGAAAAGTAAGGAAAGTCTCCTGAGGAATTGTCCATTGATGGCTATCATCATCGTGTATTGTGTTTTTTCTCTCCAAGAGATAGCTTACTCAGAGGTAAGTGAGAGAGAGCTACCGGTCACTTGTCTAAAATCATGGGAGTATCTTTAAGTAAAGCTTTTTGATTGATTTTTGACCAGAGGGTATAATTAGTTTTAAAATACCTTTCTGCTTATGAATGATCATTTCTGTTTTGGGGGTAACTTTGCAAGATATTCTCACTCTGGGCAGTCAGCGACAGAAGCTATGGAGGATTGAGTTTCTCATCTCAAGATGTTGGCCAAGTTTTAGCTATATCAGGTGCATGTTTTATCATGTTTTTTTTTTAGCTTTACATTGTCTGGTGATTTGTATCTACTTCTTCAACTCTTTTTCTCTAGTTTGTCATTGTCCATCCATATCCCCCTTGGATGTTTCTCGTGATTTGAGTTGCCATGTTTTCAGGACTTGGGCTTTTGGTCTTTCAACTTTTCGTATACCCGCCGTTGGAAAAGGCCCTGGGACTCCTTGTGGTTGTACGTCTTTCTGCGGTAATATATGTGTTTGCAGTTTTGCTACGTACGTCTTGTTGATTTGTGAATGATGCTCTTTGTTTTGTCTAAAATAGATGTATTGATTCCTTAAATTAACATTCTTCTTCTTGTTGTTCAGGTAATGTTCATACCTCTGCTTTCTTGTTACCCCTCTATTGCTTTGCTTTCAGGGGTGACCCTCCATTTGGTGATAAACTGTGCATCCATCTTAAAAAACGCTTTGTCTGTGAGTAACCCCGGAGGGAGGTCTTTTGTACTGACCACATCTCCTCAAGTTTTAAAATATGTTTCGGGGATATTTGCAGGTCTCTCTTGTTACAGGACTTTTTATCCTGCTGAACAAAGTTGTGGTATGGTTCTTGGGCTTGTGTATTGCATACCCTTTTCTTTATCTTATTAGCTATCTCCGTTTTCGGCATTCGGGTAAATTATTAAGCCGGGGTTCATGCTCACTTTTCTTGGATTTGATGCTGCAGCCTCAGAGTCAGAGAGGTGCTGCTAATGGAATATCTATGACCGCAATGTCTATTTTCATGTCATTTGGCCCTGCCGGTGGAGGTGCCTTGTAAGCACCAAACAAAACCTTGGGAATGAATTTTTATATGTTAAAGCAGAAAAATGCACTCGCATTCATGCATATATTAACTTGAGTCACTCTAGCAAGTACCCAACATCATACAAGCTTCATCTTTGGTTAATATTGCAGATTTTCGTTGGCGCAAAAGAGACAAGTAGCGACGTTTCTTCCAGGTCAGATTTTGGCACCTACTCAATCTCAACTAAATATTGTATTGTGGATTATCATGAATTAAAGGTTTAATTTTGTGGGAAAGAAAGAGAGGGTTTTAATGTTGTGATTCCTTGTTGAAAATACAGGTGATGAGATGGTGTTCTTGGTGTTGAACTTGGTACAGCTCGTAGGGTTGATTCTAACGTTCATACCATACATTTCCCGCATCCAGTAAGAAAGGCAAACACCCCCCAGGAATAAATGGGAAGGTTCATTAGAAAAAAAACTATGGTGTTTTTTCTATCACTAGTCGACACCAAACTAATGACAAATAATGTCACCTATGTTATAAACTGTATACGATAAGGTGAGATTTGTGTGCACAACAA